CATGCATCCACTGCTTTATCATGTGTTCCTTTGTCTCCTAATAGCGCAGTTTTTTTTTTTTTTTTTTTTGACACACAATGAAAAGCTGGTGCTAATATATTTCAAGGATGACTGAAACAATATGTAGTTTTTTCCTCCTTGAGACATGTCGACTTTGTTAATCCTGCTCGGTTTCCCTTCAGTTTCTCTAATCCATGCCCCTGTACAATTCTGATTAGTTGTCTACCTTTGAAACAGCACGAAGCCTGAGGCTGTGGTAACCAACAGCTGCACACTTAGTACATGCTGCAGAGCGTTAGACAGCGAGTGCATCCAACCCAAAATAAAAAGAATAGACGGTTATGGGTTTAAGACTTGAACGAATCAGAATGAACATTTTTATTTGGAACGATTTTTTTTTTTCTGCTGTTTTTACGAGTTTTCTTCCTTGAAATGGAAATAGCAGTTACATTGAGTATTTCATCCACAAGCTGGTTCTAGTGTCAGCTTATATATTTCAATTCCATTTCAAATGTGCAACTTTTCTACCTTGAGGTATGTAGAGTAGTGTTATGCTCTTGTTCTCTACAGCTGCATAGTCACTACATGCTCGAGCAGCTAGACAGGAAGTTGACTCATAATAAAAAAGAGAACATGTTCACTATAAATTGCATCTTATAGGCATCATATTTAGCTGTGAAGTTCAGTTTGAAACTATTTTTCTTCATTGTTACCATTTACTTTGCTTTAAATGTGAAAAAAAAAGCTTTGCTGAGTTTTTATTTTCACATGCTGTACCACTAATATTTTTAAAGGATGCACTGACTCAATATGCAGCGTCATCTCCTCGAGATGTTTAGAACAATTAAGTTCCTGCTCAGTTTTCTTTTCCAAAACATGCCCTTGTAAATTTTATCGTGATTAGTTGTCTACCTTTCAAACAGCATGAAGCCTGAGGCTGAAGTAACCAACAGCTGTGCAGCCAGTGCAGGCTGAAGGATAGCAGACGGTGAGTGCATCCAACCCCAAATATAATGAAAAAAAAGATAATTATTATGGTTTTGGTTTTGTACGAGACCTCTTTATTTCTTTGAGCATTTGATTTGGATGATAAAGAAAAGGTCTACTTCCTCTTCTTATTTCGACTCTTCTCTAGAGATGTGTAGCCCTGCACTTGTGCTTTCTTTTGTTCGTGTGTGATTACTTCTTCAGATTAAACGCGTTAGACTTTTCATTCAGTTTTTTTTTTTTTTTTAAAGAACATAAATGAAATGAAGGGAACTAAGGCCAGTGTTGGTAGCTGTGATGAATTCACACCTTCAAAGGAGATTTTGTAAGCTCTTTTAAACAGGGAGGTCAACACATTTATTTGCACGCTTTGAAGGCAATGCTAGTCACTTATAATGTTAGAACACAGCAGCCTTTTAGAAAACAATGATAGATCCTTTTTTTTTTAAACTGTTTTTTAAAAGTTTACTTTGTTCTTCTTTTCAAGTTTTTAGTTTTTCATTTAAGGAAGAGTATGCTCTGCATCTGTCATGGCAGAAAAGCATTGATACACCCAACACTACTGTTAGGCATGCTGTGAAACATGGTCCGCTGCACTTGTGAGCACAGTCAACAGCGATGTCCAGCACACTGTACCACAATGAATCACATTTGGGGTGTGAAATCAAATTTAGGTGCAAGTTCATGGCAGTGAGAGCGGGACAGTCAGCCTGTATTTCATCATTTTGTAATTTACCAACCTCCCTTCCACCATGGGAACTAAAAAAAAAAACAGAGTAGAGTAGATAATGTGATTAAGAAGAAAGGCCAAAGGCGTCCTTTTGTGGATCATTTTGTGTGTGTAAACGCTCTCCTTTTTGGTTTTGTGCCTTTCTGCAGTATGGAGTCATTCACTTACAGATATTGAGTGATCCTGGCTGGCTCACTTGGCAATGCAACAAAAGTCTTTCACATTCCTTGTTGCCCTCTGTAATACTGATGGACTGTGTAACCTATATTATAAGACAGTGAAAAATTAATAACATCATGTAAAACCAAAATACCACTGTCGTTTAGTCTCAGCATGATATCCCAGAAGGCTTTCTTGACATGAAAAACACATATTGTTTTGCATCATTTTTAAATAATCTGTAGAAGAAAGTTGCAATAAGAGGTCATTATGTAGAGCTCACTGAGAAAAATCCTTCCTTGAGCCCTTTTATTAAAGAACACCCTGCCAGGATTTGACCGAGCTAGCAGGTAGCACAAAACGTTGTCAGCAACGATTTGAAACTTGAATAACCTCTGTGTTTAAAAAAAAAAAAAGGACTAAATTAAAAAATCTTGCCCTCTTTTCCTCCTGTCAGACGCTAACTTTAATCTTAGCCTAGCTTGTATTTATGTCTAAGGTTATCATACAATTAGCTAAGGGTCTCGTCTATTTTTATTGGATTGAGCTAACATTAGCTTAATGACTGTTAGCTTGCAGTAGACGGGCAAATGATGTGTAGCCTACACAATTCGGATCGGTCAATTTTCTTCATTGAGGGAGTAAGTTCTTAAAATATGATTTCCTAGCAATGATCCTGGGCCAGTGGGCCAATGGCATAATTCACTTAATATCAAGCCCTGTGTTGGTTTGCACTAACATTAGCTCATGAGTGTTAGCTTGTCTCAACATTACCTTGACGGTTAGCTTTTAGTAACGTGAGCTCAAGTTACAACACCTAAAGTAACTAGAGTTCAGGTTCAAAGTTCAAAATGTTAGCTCATGTGTATTCATAGACATTAAATATGCATGTTTATTTCTAATTTGAGTGTTCTTTTGGTGATTATACAAAATAACATGATAATATCTAGTATTTTACGGACTTGGTTATTGCACTTTTAATACAGGCTTACCTTAAATCTTGTATAGTTATTTCAATATCTCCCAGAAAAACGTACAATGAGGTTCTTTTCGGACATCATTAGTGTCTTGCTGCAGTAAAAACTCAGCACAGTGACTCCAAAATTCAGTTTTCATTAACAAGCAACTTGGCATTAACAAGCGGCTGTATCACACTGTGTCACATTAGGTCCTCCATCTGTGATGCTTCAGTAAAATTGCATACCTTTTGGTTTAAACGTCCTTGTAGTAATGGTGCAAGTTTTCCTTGAGTGCCTGGAACTGCCTCTTGTACATTTCTCTGCTCCAGAAAACCCTTTGAAGATCCGTTGGAAGCTTCAGTTCTCAACTCCTGCCAGTGCTTAAAGACAGATCATTAGAAGAGAGCAGGTTCAAACAGTGAGAGGAGCGGTGGATTTGTGTTTAAAAAGGCATAAATATGTTAAATTAGAGTTTGTACAATTGCTGTAATTACCGCAAATCAGATCTACATCAAGTGTAATCTGATGATGAAAGTCGGTTACGGACCGTTTAACTGCCTGGGTCATAATTTAAATTTTCTGTGATCCCTGTGTCTCCCTTTGTGCAACAATTTGCTCTTTGCATTGCTGCAATATGGTGCGATTTGTATTCCTTTCCAAACACTTCCAGGCTTGGTAAATGACTGGCAGATGCTCTGTTGACCACAACGAGCTCCGCTGGTTCAGCCGAATTGACCTATGGCATCTGCTTTCTCCGCCAAAGTCTCAAATTTGATCAAACGTAATGAACAGCAGATTTGATGCACCACGTCCCCGGCACTTGTGCAGAGGCCAGGATCAGTTGGCCATTGTGCCTGTGCCTGGAAGACATTTGAAAGTTTGGCAGTGTAATTGAGTTGTTGTTGTTTTTTTTTGTTTCTATTGTTTGTTTCACTTCACAATGAAAGTGGAACAATTTTACTTGGAGTATTTCCGATCTGTGACAGACTTGCAGAAAGCCAGACCTGAAGACAACAGAAGATATGTTTATTTTCTTTTGTTTGTCTCTGCTTTATTATGGAGATAGAAGGTACTTTAAAGCAGGTGCTATAAAAAGAAATGTGGATATGTGGTAGACAACCCAAACAGGTCGACGTAAAAAAAAAAAGCCTTTTTAATTCTGTTTAATCCAATATCTGCTTGATTAGCATTTTAAACACAGGTCTTCTGATGAATCCCTTTTTAACTTCGGCTCATTATTCAAGCCTCTAACCTGCTATCAACGCCTTAATTATAAGCTTTGGTCCTCATCTCCTCTTTTATGATTGCAGGTGAGATTTAATTAGAAAGCATGCAAAGATAGTTTGCATCACAATAATGAAAGGGAGTGAGGTGACATGGTTTTCAGAAATATCCTTTTCTGTTTCACTGAACCCAATTTGAATGAATGCATGTGTAGCTGTCCATTTAATTAACGGAGAAAACCACTTCACCTGTGGACACTGCTATCAGACCAGCAGGTTTCCTGTTAAATGACGAGTGAGCGAAAGGTAATGAAGGCAGGAAGAGAGCAGGAGGCAAGAGATGTATTGTTTCAAAGGCGGAGAAGAGGCAGAGCAGGGGAGCAAAAAAAGTGTGCGAGGGGAAGTGAGACGGCGCAAAAGAAAGAGGGTGACTGGGGGAGGCAGTCATCAAAATGCTAATGTTGCATGGGATATTTACTGCACAGTGTTAATGCAGTTTAAAGCAGGCTCTTTGTCCTGCAGCCCATCACCAAGCCCCTGTTGGGCCCTAATAAATCAGCCATTAAAAGCTGATGTGACCTGAATAGCGTTTCATACAGCGACGAGCGGGCTCTAATTCCAGTGTGGGGACAACAGCTGAAAAATTTATGAAGATGCCACTTAATGAGGGCTGACCCAGAAGTGACCGAAATATAAAGTTTGTTTTTGATGCCGTTACGGGGGAAAAAAATAAATATTTCTGCCATAGCGATTACTATAAGGCAAGTTTTCCTGAGTTAACAGTGACTCAAAGTCGTCTTGGCAGACATCAAAACTTCCTCCTGCTGGACTTTTTAATTATGTCCCCTGTCATTTATTGTGAACAAATAATACGTGTTGAAATGCTGAACTTATGCAGCGCTAACCTTGTTCTTTTTTTTTTTTTCCCCTCTTTCCTCACAGGAAACAGAAGATGGTTTTATTATCTGGCATGTGAAATGCAGGACTTGTGAAAAGACTCAAACTCCTTCTTCAATCAAGGTATTTTTTTTATTTTGTCCCTTTTTTCTTCTTCTGCAATTCGACCTGAAAACAAAAAGGCTTAAAATATGTCTTGTGTCATGTTGTTGACGCGATCTGAGATTATCCACACAGCGACCTAATGAAGAGCGCTCGTGTGGGCCGATTGGGCCTGTTGCTTTCCGTGCAAATGAATCTTTATGAAAATGATTCATGCAAGGTACTCATCGTAATATGCAAATCTGTGGGACATCACCAGTAAGCCTTTAATTTCTGCTGCCAGCAACAAGGAGGGCTCCTTTTTTTATTATTATTATTTTTTTTTACGTACCTACCGAGTGTGTGTTTGGATTTCATTCCCTGATGCAAATGATGTTTTCAGTGTAATCATGCAAAAGCACAGCTGGCTTCCATTTCTCTCCGCCTCGAGTCTCCTGCTCCACACACTACACCCTCAACCCCACCCGCCTCCACCTCTTAACCACCAAAACCTTCACGCACCAACTCGTCCTCCTCTCTCTCTCTCTCTCTCTCGCTCGCTCTCTCTATCTGTCTCGGCCTCTCTGCCTGTTTGTCATTGTTGTCGTCTGCAACCCTGTGTTTGCTCTCTGCGTCTCTCTGCGTACTTATCTGCTTTCCCTTTCCTCGCCGGCTAAAGCCCGCCCCTCCTCACCCTGTCGATACACACACAAACACACAAACACACACACACACACACACACTTCCCTCCACCAACCCTCTCCATACTTAATGGAGCCACCAGCCTCTGTGCCTCCTGCAGTGAGCCTGGATTGAATTCAATTAGGGAGATTGTTTGCCCTCCAGAGTTTACTGGTGGGCTCTGTGGATGATAGGTTTGCCTGCCGCTGCCGACACCGCCCCTCCTCCTCCTCCCTTCCTTCCTTCATTCACACAAACACCTACACACACACACGCACACACACACACACATACTCCGCTTCATCCATCAACCCTGCTTCACCTCCATCCAACTCAATCCTACCCCTCCCTCTCTGTTTTCCCTAACCGCTTCCTTACAGCGCTGAATATTTATTTCTTGGGTACATTGTTTACATTGCTTTTCGAGGCCCCCGTCGATGTTTTCATGTTATTTTACAGCCTCGTATTCAACAAGATCAAGGCATAAAAACTTGCCACCGAGGGAGAATGTGTCATTTCACCTTTTTTTTTCGATAAGGCCTCGGGGGCTCATATCCTCTGCGCGACTGTTTCAGGAGAATTGATGGGATGGGAGATTTCAGAGGGAGAATAATTGAGCTGCAGTTGAGCTCAATCCCAGCATCTACCTCCTACACGCGCACACTCATCCCGGGATAATCCCATTTTTAGAATTAATTTGCCACTCCGCTAGCATATCCCTCTCCGGCACAAAAGAAAGGGGCAGTGAATTTGCTGACATGGGAGAAACGGTCACATTAGTTGCAAGGTGAAAATAGAATAGTGCTGTCATTTGAATAACATTGAGAGCAGCAGGCGGTAGCTGTGCGTGCCGCTGGCGTGTGCCTTTTTTTTTTTTTAAATATGAAGAGTAAATCTGACACAAACATAATGGGCTTGGTCTCTGTTCTGTGCAGAAACACATTCCAACGACTCGTCCTGCATCCCGCTGCTTTCCTCCAGATGTCACGCTGTGTGAAGGTGTTCTGGTGCTTCTCAGGAATCACATACTGTATTCGTGCTGAAAGATGTCAAATGAATTAAAAGCTAAGGATCGCTTTGATGAGAGATATCCTAACGCTCTCCGACGTGTAATCACAACCTTTTTTTTTTAAACCTAATTTGCGCTCACTTTAGATTACGTCTCATCGACGTCAGTGAGATCTTTTTCCTGCCAAGAAGTAAATACAATCTTCTTGATTTACAAACACACACCTACAAGTGTGCGGGGTTAATTCTACGCTAAGGTAATTGATTCTTGCTGGGGATTGTTTCAAGTTGAAGATATTCCACTAAAACTTTGCCATAAAACGACTCGGAACAAATTGTTCCAAATCGAGCAATCACCTTAATTAGAATTTTTTCCAAGGAAGAAAACCAGCTACATTCATTTTTTTTTCCTACTGGTCATATATTGAAAGACTTTGAGTTTCTTTAGAACTTTTCGACATTAATCCAAAGTTATTATGTACCCCTGATAATAAAATGCTGTTATTCTGCAGGGAATGGCTTCATACCATGTTGGACTTACAAAGATGTCTGGGTTCTAGATGTTTGTCGGGAAGTAATTATCAAGGAAAGATCTTTGATTTTACAAATCTAGAACAGCAAGCTTTCTTCAAGAGAACAAACCTTTCCATCCTCCTGAAATACTTTGCATACCCAACATGGTTGCCCGTAGCACCGGCCATTCAAGTTAGTTTGACCATAATGGCCTGCGATGACATTAGCCCTGCCAAGCTTTGGTTCTGTTATCTTAAAGCCCTGCCATTTGTTTTCATAGTGTGATCCTGCCCAGACCTCTCCAAAACATGCAAAGCAGCTCATTTGAATGGAAAGGGAGAGAAGAGCCTTTTGGCCGATGTCAGCAGTGTTCTTCGATTTGAATCCTGTCCAGAGATAGTTGACTTTGCACGTCTTTGTTGTTTGTGTCCTGTTACTTGGGCGACTGCGGTCAGCGCCCCAAGCCGTCTGGCTCGAGGACACCGGACAGGGTGTGGAAACCGGCTAAATCACCTCATTATTTCAAAGGCACACATTGCTTTGACGTAGTGCAACGCAAAATTGGTTGACCCTCTTTGCAAATTGGCGTTGTCTTGACAACAGCAACCAGCGGATATAATGTATTCACTTGAGACATGTTTGTGGTCATTTTGTCCCAAGTTCATATGAGAACAGTCCTGCATCTGCATAAACATGTCACTCATTCATCTCTAACTGTAAGCCTAAATTGGGGTTGGACATTGTGGAAAAATATGTGTACTTGGAAGATGCCCTTAATTATCAAACGATCGTTGATTTTCACCTAAAGTGTACGTACATTAGCCTAAGGTGGCAGTTTCAGGAATCATCAAAGTAGTTTAATTTAGGCCAGCATGCCACTCCAATGCAATTATTTGTTTTTGTTTGAGCAGCCTTTTTGCACTTAAGGCATCTGTAACCTTAATAATTCAGCATCGGGTGCTTTGGGGATATATATATATATATATATATATATATATATGTGTGTGTGTGTGTGTGTGTGGTGGTCTTTCTATATCAGCAAATGCGTGCATGTCAGCTGGGATGTGAAAAAAATGTGCCTGCACATCTGCTTAATGTGGTGTTATGCTGCGATGTTTGTCCATGTCCACCCACTCCACCTATTCCTATACAATATTCATGTACTCTGTAGCCCTACATTACTCTCTCTCTCTCTCTCTTTTCAAGCTGCATAATCATGATAAAAGCATGATTTCATTCATCTGTGGTTTCTGCATGCAGAACATGCAGTTAGCTGAGCATAGGTATACAGTATTAAAGGGGGAAACACTGTCTTCCTCAAAATGTAACAAAATTGCCAACCAGAGCATGCAAAGTTCAGTTAATATACTCACCCTATATTTCCTTTTTCTGTTTTTTTTTATTTATTTTTGTCTAAACCCCATGAAGTCACTATCCTGGCACGCTTTTCTTTTTTAACATTGTTTGTTGGCCGGATTTCTGCAAAACCACACTTTTGCAACAACTTGTCCTTCCCCCCCCCCTCCCCTCCTCTCTCCCAATCTTTTCCCTCTCACACATAAACTCACACTGTTATTGCCTGTCACAACCCACCTCTTTCAGTCCCAACAGGGCTGTGCAGGTGAACGTTTTTTTGGCTTGTCTTGATTGGGAGAGGTAAAAGTCCATTCGACAATGGTGCCCCGTGAAACGAGAGAAGGGGTTACTGGGATGTAAGTGCGAGTGGCCTGTCACGGGCCCAGGCTCGCTCTCCTGATACCTTGCCCTGACAGTTTGGGCCGTCTTAATAAAACGACACCCTTGACAGTGAACTCACACAGCTAACTGAATGGCCCCTCTCCCATCGCCTTGTGCCAGCTCTACCTCTCCTTTCTCTTCCCACTGTGACTCTCCATGGCACCACTCCTCCTCACCGTGGCCATTTATGCTAATCTAAACGAACGAGACGATCTGTTGACGGTGATTAGATCCAAACGCGCCTCGCACCTCTGGGGCTACGCTGATACCATCTGACACGACAGAAGAATCAAAAGTAGCAACGGCCCTAATTTGAAGGACACTGATGCTATTTGAGCTTCTAGGCATTGGGTTAGAGATATGGTAAGTGGATACTGAAGTCAGTGTTTACAGTGTCCAAATGCATCTTGACTAGAGAGTTGCCTGCTAACTTGAAGAGCGTTTCCTGTCTGGTTTTTGTTACACTGATTCTCACTTGAACTCCTCCTGCACCCTGTCCAACGCTTCAGCTCCGGCGAAGGTGTGCAGCTCTAATCAGCTCCGTTTGATGTGCGGAGGCAGAAGGCTTTACGGAGGGAGCCGAGATCTCTTAGGACATTAAGGGGAGAGTAGAGGAAGAGATTACTGCTGGTCTTTTTATAGAGGATCACTCCATCTTGTCCTTTTTAGCTCACTCATTAGTTCTCGCCTTCCCCCCCGGAGGGCGATTCTCTCTTTCTGTCTCTCACCAAGACCGGGGCCACTTGCCTCATGTTGGCGAGGAACCTGTCTTGGCTATCAGTTAACCACCAAATATGAATCCCCGAGCCCTGCTGCCGTTGTCAAGTCCCAGTCAGAAGGCACTCGTGTGGTCGGAGCTGCTCCTGTGATGGCAGGTACTGGGATGGAAAAAAAAAAGATCCCAGGAGAGGGGAAAGGGAAGCAGATGAATAATGATTTGCACTCCCTTTTCTTTTGTTGGCAGTGGAAAGCATGACATGCCTTTACTCTGTTTTCTTCCCCCAATTCCCCTCCATTTCCTCCCCCTTCGGCTGGTACCTGTGAAATCAGACATCCTTCTGTGCCTGTCAAAAAATAACCAACAGTCTGCGACTTGCTGTCGG